AGCGCCTAAATGCTCTCAAAACACCTTCGAAGGATAACAGTGCTGCCTATTGTATTTTCCAGGGAAGTCAGAAAAGTGAAATAGTTAATATTGTTTACAATTTGCATCACTTTCCAGGCAATTTAATGCTATCTGGTAAATCCCAGTAGCAATCGTCAAACAGTAGGCTTTATCTGAATGCATGGAGTACTTGGTGATCACTGTCTGTACAGCAGTGTTTAGAACGAATGCCTGTTGCGTAAGGAATCGAGAAGGCGACAGTTAGGTACATTCGAATACGCAGGCATAAAAACTCCTCGTGACTACCTTTCTTTTCGAGGACCCGGTCACTGAAGCAACAAATAAAACGTTAGAAATACCGCATGCGACAGAGCCAGACATGATAAAAGAAGAGTTCAGTTTGAACCTGCAAAACAAGCGACTACAGTGAAGTAAAAAAAACTAATGGCTCTACCTCCACCAAGAGTCGGAAGGCGCAATTCTGTCCGGTCATGAGTGGACAGTGCTGCTTGACGCCGGGTGATTTGCCTTCTAGCGGCTCTATTTCTACGGAAAGCGAAGGTAGAGCTGAGCGTAGGGCACTGCAGATCTTCTTGTCAGCAAAGTCTAGGCACGGCGAAACGTCCTCCACATCGAGCCGTAGCATGAAGGCATGTTCAACGGAGGTCTTGTTAGACGTGGCAGAATTCAAGGGCACTAAGAGGGAGTCCGCGTCACCGTCAACTACGTCCGATCCGGCGGACTGTGAACGACTGCGTAAGGGGACCTCTCGGAGCACAAGGAGGGAGGAGGTACGTGAGGCGTCCTCGGAGAGGGAAAGCCAGCATCCACCGTCAACCCAGTCAACAAATTCCTTCAAATACAAAGTAAACAGAGACCCTGAATCAAAATGGCTTCAAGGGGGCACTAACTCAAAAATCGACAAAGTTACCTGACATGCTATGTAAATTGCGTCAACACACATACTCATACATGATGATCAGTATTTTGTACTTTAGGAAAGAGTCATTTATGGACTTTCCAGTGAAGTTCTACCAAGCGGCTTGAGAATGTCAACAACCCGGCACACTTATTTTCTGAATTCAACTCAATTATATCCCATGCAGCAGAAATAAAGGGAAAAAAAGGAACATATACTTTCCGTAATTCATCATTTGACCTATGCGATTACACAAATAATGAAAATATGAGAAGTTGATAGGGTTTATAAATGTCTTATGAGTAATACTCATTTTCTTCACGCAATCCGCATATTGAGGTCATTGGGACGGGGAAGGAGGGGGGGGGAAGTAGAATAGGTTGTGAGCAATGTTGATAGATCGAGCACACGGAATGAACAACTGTCATCAGAGGGTGGGGGCGATTACAACTTGAAGTCTGCGTCGACCGCGGAGGAGAAAGGGCACGCATAAGCATTCTCTGACAGCAAAGCACTGGATTCGCGAGCCAGTGCTCCGACTGTTGATAGCACCCGTTGTCGTAGGCCCCTAGAGAAGTTGGCTGCAAGGCTTCGTTGGGATCAACTGGGTGATTAGGGTCGACCAGGTGGAGGAGAATAGCATTTGAAATAGATCTAGTTTCACCGTTACTTAACCAGGTGGAAAACAGCACTAGATGCCGGCTGTGCGATATATTTTCTGCTAATATTTAATTTACAAACTAGAGGGGGCACAGTGCTAAGTAGTTGATTAATACCCCTATAGCTACTCTATGGTGCATTTTAAAGCGTCAAACGGGGTCTACAAGGAAGTAAGGATAACCAAAACGAAGAAGGACAGGAGAGTACGAACCCGCCCCCGACATAAGATATTGCGCCAAATTAAAGAGCTATTAGGGTTCAAGTTATTATAATGACACGAGGGCAGGTACAGTTCCTGGAGCTTCCCCGTATTACGGGAGTTCTTATCCCCGCGAAATAACCCAGTAAAGAGTAAACTTCTCGGCTGCTTTCAACTGAATAAAAGTAACCGATCCGTCAACACTCATGCACCAATATGAATAGCGTCCGATGTAATCCGACAAGGCCACTTACACCCGTGGTTCAAAGATTAAAGCGTTGAACTTCTAAATAACAAGGTCGCGGACTCAAG